AATAATGAGGCTGTTAACATGCCTAAGAATTGAATCTGAGGAAATGTTTAAAAACAGCATAACTTATAAAATAATGGCCCGATTATGCTGATTTTCGAACTTGACCTGCATTTTAGTAAGATTAATTACTCCTGTGAGTTTCATGACTACAGGCCTATCGGTTTTCCTTGAAATGTGTTAACAGTGTTGCATATATGCTAAAAAGTGAAAACACAGCATAAATACTACAATAATTGCCCAAACATGCTGATTTTCGAACTTTACCTGCGTTTTATGAATATTCATCAGCTCTGTAAATATAAAGCCAAAAAGTTAAACTGTCTTCCACTTATTGTGTTAACGATGAAAGTGCACGGCGACGGCGACGGCGACATCGACGGCGACAGGGACGGCGACGGCGACGACAGACGCAGGTGATGGCAATATGTACAGACACATCTGTGTCTGTACATAAAAATGATGAATTGCCTGTAAATTGCCTGATATCAAAAAAGAGATATCTCACCTCTACTTAATTTATAATCACCACAGATCCACAGCTGGCACTGTTCAGTTAAATATTCAAAACCTACTGATCACATGCTATATAATACTTACCTCCCTCTGAGCCTGTACTGTACTGAGAACTGTACTGTCTTCTAGCTCTCCTGTCTAGTTAACTGTCTATGATCACATGTTATATATAATACTTACCTCCCTCTGACCCTGTACTGTACTGAGAACTGTACTGTCTTCTAGCTCTCCTGCCTAACCAGCCAGGTACAGCGCCAGGAGTTTCTCCTTGGACATCAACAGAGACAGACGCTTGGCTGATGCCACTCCTACAGGGTACAAATGTACAGAATATTACCAAACACTGGGCAAATATATACCAAATATTTACCAAACACTGAGCACAAATATGCAGAATCCAGTATAGAAAACATTATGAACTAGCATGAGAGGTTTGACTTCTGCAGTGCAAAATATTTTCTTCAATTCAAATTTTATATATATATATATATATATATATATATATATATATATATATATATATATATATATATATATATATATATATATATCAAATTCTACATATATTGTAATATAAATAATTTAGCTATCTATATATTTTTATACTGAAAATAATTCAACATTTTGTAATCCACTTTTGCAAGTTTTATGAACACCAGCATTCAAAAATAATCTTTGTTCTTAATCTCACATCCCTTTAAAGGCCTTCTTGTTAGTGAAATTGCCGGCAGTTCTATTAACACAAGTGCTCTAAGAATCTTACTCACAGTTGTATCTTACCTCTCTTTGATTGCTTTCTCATCAATGAAATCGCTGGCAGTCTCCACTGGTTTCTGGACAGCCACCAACTGGTTCAGCATTTCTCTCATCAGGAAACGACTGACAAACTGCTCTATAAAGCTTGCTGTGGGATATTGCTGCAGGCGAGAAACAAAATGACTGTGCTTGTATTTGTTGTAACAGAGAGAGAGAGAGAGAGGGAGAGAGAGAGAGACAGAGACATCAGGTAGAATTCTGACCAACCATTTCAAGATACATACTTAGTACTTTAACACTTTTCTTTTCATGAAAAGAAAAAAAACTCATCTGTCCTGTATATTCTATGCATACCACTACATATAAAGTATACTGACAAATTTCAAAAGCCCAAAAAAATTTGATACTTTCTCTTGACAAGGTGTATTTCATTTACACTCAAATATAGTCCTTGTGAGCTCCTCTTACCTGAGCAGACTGATTCAGAGCCTTGGTCATGGAGTGGTTGAGGTCCTCCAGAGCCCCAAACATCTCCTTGAAGGGTCCGAGGTGATGGGAGAAATAAGTACACAGCTCCCCTGTGTCCAGGTTACTGGGGGGAGAGAAATATCTTAAACTGAATCTCATTTGTTTTATTCTTATTTCTTACCCCACCTCCATATTTTGTACTAGTATATTTCAGTATATATCATCAATATATATCACCTCACTTTTTTTTCTTGTTACTTGTTTTTATTTTAGGAAATAAGACATTAACATTCAAGCAGTTAGTAAATAATGTCTGTTTATATTTGGAAAAAGAGAAACATTATTTAAAACAACTGTCTCATACATGTAATAATTTTATTGTGATTTGTCTGAAATGCTAAGAGAGCATTCACATCGAGAAGAGCTGTGGTTTAGCAAGGCTGAGACTTAAATATGGCGGACCTACATGAAAAGACGACCGTGACATTCATTCAGAGACTATTAAAGGATCATGTGGTCTTCCTTACGTGTAGGTCGGCCATATTTAGGTCTCGGCCTTTCTAGACCTCGGCTCTTGTCGGTGTGAATGCTCTCTAAATCTAAATTTATCTTGCCTCTTATGAGCTAAAAAATAAACCTACTTTGTTTTATGTGTGTCAATGTCTCTGAACAAGTTTCCCAACTCTTCATCCGTTATCACTCCGTCAGCAAAAAAAGCCCCGAATTCCTCCAGTGAAAGTGCTCCATCATCTACAATAACAACAGTGAATGTGATTCATCATCTAAAAACTTTTACACTTTCATTTGTATTTTGAGGCTAGAAAATCACATCAAGCAATCAAGCAGGGTTTCCGCTGGCAGAATTGGGGGGGGGAGAGAGTTTTACATACTTTGATAAATCATAAACATGCAATAAGTCAAATGACCTTTTTTATTGGCAGCTGTATCTCAAATGTACTTGAAAACCCTGCCTTGTTATAATTACAATACGTAGAAAGATGCTTAAAAGGAGCAATTTCAAAATCGCTGTCCTTGCCTGAAGGGCTACCTTCCCTCAGATGTTTCTTTACTCACCGTTTTTATCAGCTCTTCTAAACACCTGAAAAATACCAGCAATATTTCATTACAACTTGCTTTAGATTACCATCACAATTATATGCAATGACAAATGATTCAAGAACACACCCAATTACCACTCAGAGTGGCCGATTGGGGAGGGGGGGGTGGGGCTAGGGGTCTCTTCAATTTCTGTAAAAAATCACACCAATGGCCCCCATCTTAAAATAAGAATTTTGACAGTAAATCATAATTCTAAACCGTACCAAATGGCACCCTTTGCTCTCTAAAATACCAACATTTTTTTTCGGGCTCCAAAACCCATGCCAAGGGGGGGGGGGGGGGGGATTTGTATCTGCGGACCCCCCCCCCCTTCAAATAATCCTGGATCTGCCCCTCCACACAATTCACTTTTGGCACTTGTCATATTTCTTTAAAACCCTAATGGACCAGTGGCTTAATGGAAATCAATGTTTACATACTGTATACACACATTGAGTCCTGGCAGCTGACACCATGCTTTCATTACGACTTCCCATGGTGATAAACTAATCAAAAGTTCAGCAGTGTCAGGGCATTGATGGGGGAGTTAAATACATGGAGATATTTTGCAATATTGCCCATAACTGAAGGATTTGTCATTCTTCAATTGTTAAAATTCCTGATTAAACTAAATCAAGTGTTGGGTAGAGGAAATGACATCGTGAACACAAGATTTTAAATAAATATATTATTAAATAAAATAACATAAGTATACTGTAAATACAATACAATTAAATTGACACAATGGCTTAATGGTATAAAACACTAAAGAATTTACGCAAAATAAAAATTCTAACCACAGCATTTTAAAGCTGTTTATTGGACCCTCTCTTCAGCATCTTGCTTTACAATATTTATTATTGACATAAATATCGTCCTTAATTGGTCCAATAAAATCTTAAATATCTTTTATTTTACTAGGATAGAAAACACGACCATTATACTATACAAACACACATCTAAGGAGCGTGTATACAAATATAATCTGCTCTGGCAGCATGGACTGTAAACAAAATAACTGCACTTACATCGAGGAAAATTGACATCCCCTTCTCTTGCTCCGCCATCTTGAAATCACGCGAGGAAATGCGAGGTTTGTATCTGGGTCAAAGGGATGCGGAAGGGCAGAAACCACTAAATAATTTCATACTAAGCAATGTCTATAATGACTAATATATAATAAAAAATAATAAATAAACGAAATAATTTGGTGAAATATTCCCTGTCCCCATGGACAGAAGATGCACTGGCATAACTCTCAACAGTCTGTCCGGAGATTCCGAGCTGCGCGTGCACATTGACTGAAGCGACGGCCATTTCCGCACTACTTTCAGCAAAATCGAGTGAAAATGGACGACTTTTGATCTCTTCTTGTTTTCATGTGTATTTTTGTCAACTGTTGATGTGATTAAACGATATGTATATAAAAGGAAGCGGGAATGTCTAGGGATTCGGAATTTTAAGGTTAGTTGTCATAAAAAATAGATTTAGAACTGTAAAATGGGAGATTTATCTACGCGGGTGATTGCAAATGGAGCCCCGTTTCAAGTGTCCGCAATTTTCTATTTAAAGATTTCTGTAAGAATTTGAAATCTCACAATTTTTTAAAAACTAAATCATGAAAGCCAATTAAGCTGGGTTTCTGGCAGTATATATGTTTTGTAAATTCAGCTTTGTCCATTTTTTTTAGCGCGAGGTGAAATCGACGCCAAGCACTCGCATTTCTGAAACGTGTCACACTAGTGCGTTTCAACTATTACAAAATTGCTACAATGTTTATTTCACCAGCGTTTTACATATATTCTAAAAGCTTAACAAGTGGGCTTCGTGTTGATATTAAATATATGTTGCGTTCGGGTCCCAACTGGCTGACAAAGTGTTAATAATCCCGTGAAGTCGGTGTAAAAGTTGGCAAAACCGATTATTGTTACGCCTTCGCGGCCGAGTGCCTTATGAAGGTACAAATAACAATGTACTTACTGGTGTCTCAGAGTATAAGCACAGATAAGAAAGACCAAAAGAACCAAGAGAGCTGCAAAGTCAGCCGCAAAGAGCAAAGAGAGCGATTTATTTCACGTTACACCTTATATACAAGTTCAGATAGTACACGTTTACCAATCAGAACCAACTATACAGTGAACAGTTTTACCTTTAAGTTACCAATCACGGGAGAGATTCAAACTTGCACACCGGACAACACTTTACTTACAGAGACATCTACCGGTAGCAATATAAAATAATCTCAGCTAACACACTACATCGTCACACTCTCCCCCCTTTTGACGAACAAAACTCCCCCCTATTATTACAATATAAACCATTACTTTAAATTGTTAAACTAACAATTACTACAATTCAACAAATATAACAACTGAAATCTTACTTTACATTTAAAATAAGCAAGTAATGCAATTAAGTTCATTCTTGTTATGCCAAGATTCAACATTTAACTTTTAACACAAGCAAAGTCAATCAAGTCCATCTCTCAGCATAAATGTCCATCCTTAGGAATGCAAAACAAAGTTTTAAATCCATTATCACTTTAAATCAACTTTAAAAGCAAACAAAGTAATTTTAACTCAAAGTTGCTCAAAACAACATTATTAATGATAACAATGTCAATGTGAAATGTCAAATCATTATATAGTTCATTTTTCATCCATGTAGCAAAGTAAATTCCATCCGCCGATACCAATGACTACTGAGTTCACGATCCTCTGATGAAAGTTTCTGTAACAGATGATACAAAGTTCTCCAGTGAAACAAAGTCAACAAAGAATTCAGAATCTCAGTCTTGGGCTCCACACCATTTCCATGAATATATATTTTTACAAAGTTAATGTCCTCCTTGGAACAGTTATCTGGCAACATTACTAGTCCTTCACTTTGCACATAGTCCATCAGTTCCCATATATTTCTCATATTTAATGTCAATATCAGGAAATATATAAATCCATCCACCAACTGGATCCACAGTTTTTTCTCGAATTCACCAGTTCCACACGAATGAACATCACCATGACATTTACGTAAAAGCGAATTGTCCTTTTCCATCGATCTGCAATACCAGCACACCAATCCTGGAGTCATATACCACGGCAAATGAACAAATTTCACATGACGTCCAAGATGTCTACTCAGGTCAGCCCTGGACACTAGACACAAACCACACTGGACTTCTCTAATCCGTTTCTCCCCTCTGCACTTTGAGTGGGTAACTTCCTCCCCCTCTTCACCAATTAGGACAGTAGGATCTTCCACCAGATCAGTGTCATCAAAATCCGGAACAAAACAGGCTTCATCTAACATGTCTAGATCATCCATATCTGAAATAAACTTATACAATGGTTTATTTTCTTGAATGAACATACATGATAATGAGCTTTTCTTTCAAATGAATATTAACATAATATATTATTAACATAGTATTATAGCATAAACATAGTATTTCATTTATTACTAACATAGTATTACAGCATCGCCGCATTTACTATGTACAAATATTACTTTTATACCAAATCCCCAAGTAAAATACCATTATTAAAATGTGTAAAAAGAAAAGAATTATTACCTTGACAACCTCTAATCCGATAACATGCAAAACACATGCTAAACTGCAACATATTAGTTTGAACAGTGTAACCGTGTTAGGTAATATTTAATTTTTTTTTTTTTTTTATATAACCCCAATTCAAAATAAATATCAACTTATTCATGCAATGTTCAATGTAACATGCTCAACAATAAAATTCAAACAAATATTTAAAAAACCTATACCAACTTGTACTGTTGTTTTGATCAAATAACCTGAAATATAATAGGAAGTACAAACTATAATATACTTTATTAAATATATATTTTTTATTATGTATCTCTTTTCAATATCCATATAATTTGTCTCTCAGAAAAAAAATTATTTGTATCATTTCTTCTTTGGAAATCTCATTATCATAAATATGCATGTTATCAATAAGAAAATCCATTCCCTTCTCTTTTAGAAGGTTTTCATTCAATATCTTTCCTAGATAGATTATAGTTCTGGCTTCATACAGAGAGTTTGGTTTTAAGTTTTGTAATGAGATTTGAAACAGAGATGAAGGATTCTCTATCCATTGTTTGGTCCATGTGATATCTATGTCTAGCAAAATGCTGTTTATGTTGGTATCATCCATCACCTAGACAAAAAAATACAAATAATTAAATTCCTTTTATTTCAGCACTGCCGAAAATTAAGGAAGTATTTATTTATATACAACTATACCTTAACTAATAACTAATTATACATTAATATGATCATTCTAAGACGAAATCTCTTAAATGAGATGACATCTTNTATAATATACTTTATCAAATGTGTCTTTATTATATATATATATATATATATTTTTTTTAATAGCCATACAATTTATCTCTAAGATAAAGTATGATATTGATACATTCTTCTTTTGATATATTGTTTTGATATGAATAAATATTTTCAACCATCCAATCCATTCCTTTCTCTAATAGCACTCTTTCATTAAGTAAAGTTCCTATATACATTGACATTCTGGACTCTGGTAAACTGTTTGGTATTATATTGTTAATTGATATATTTTGCAGAGTATTTGGCTGCTCAATCCAATTTCTGCACCACTGATAGTCTTTCTCTTCGAGAATATTGTATATGTTTGATTCATCCATGATCTAAATAGAAAAATAAAAAAAAATACAAATAAATAAATTAAATTAAATTCCTTTTATTTCAGCACTGCCGAAAATTAAGGAAGTAATTATATACAACTATACCTTGACTAATAAACTAAATATACATTAATATGATCATTCTAAGACGAAATCTCTTAAATGAGATGGCATCTTAATTTGTCTACCAAATCTTGATCTTTTTACAATTGGTTCCACCAATTGTGGTTCATTCAACTGAAAATCACTCTCTCTTTCAACAAATTTTCTCAATCTATCATGATGTACCACTTGGATTTTTCCTTTTTTATCTTTAGTTGTATAGAGAGGTGGGGATGCTTTGATAACCTCATATGGTCCTCTATATAAGGGTCTAAGTTTCTTACTTTCTCCCTTTTTATGACTTTCATCCCTCAAATATACCTTCTGACCACAAGTATATTCACTCTCTCTCAATTTTGCATCATACAATTGTTTTTGACGTTTCTGTACACATTTCAATTTTTCTCTAGCCATTTCATGTGATCTATTTAGGCTGTCACTCAAGTTTCTCAACCATTCATGAATATCATATGGTATCAAATTTTCATTCACACAACCTGTTAGTAAGTGAAATGGCATAAAAACTTCTCTCCCTAACATCATCATGTTAGGAGTAAACCCTGTTGATGCATTCACAGTTGAATGTAATGCCATAACTAATTGAGGTAAATCTCTATCCCAATATCTCACATTCCCTTCTACATTACATCTAATCATCTGTGTAATAATAGGGGAGAGCGGGGTTGGTTGGGACAGTTTTTTTGCGATAACTCAGCAGTCAAAGCTTTAGGGACAAAAATAAAAAATCTGATAGGGGAAAATTATATGCCGCACTCATCTATGAAATAAAACATCATGTAGGTCTTTTTATTTTAGAGTAATAAATGCTCAAAATTGCCTCCTAAAACGTTCCATCTCACCCCACCCACGGGGTCAGTTGGAACAGTCAGTGGGGTGAGTTGGAACAAGAGGGCGAGTTGGAACGCTTGCATATAAATTCAAAGTACAATTCATTTTAAGAGTAGGTTTATCTATATTAATTTCCCAACAAGTACGTGTTACCTTGTATTCGTATCTCCATAGTTTGTAAGCATTTTTTACGTTCACAATTTGCTTTCAAATAGTCTTTTCGATGTATAAACCATATCCAGTTACACTTCATTTCATAATGATAAAAAAGTGGTGTAATTTAAGAGAAAAGAAATTGAATTCACATAACTCTACCTATCAACAATAGTATGTTAGACCTACAAATGAAAACTGTATCTCTTTCAACTAGACCTCAGAATAAAAATCGCAGTTCTGACATATGTACACTTGGTCACCCTAAGTACAGTCTTCATGTGACCACTTTAGACAAACAATGCATTTTTAAC